TATACAGACTTACACATAATATACAGGTTGAGTATCCCTTATTCAAAATGCTTGGGACCAGAAGTATTTCAGATTTTGGAATATTTGCATTATACTTACCAGCTGAGCATTCCTAATCCAAAAATCCAAAATCCGAAATGCTCTCTTGAGCATGACCTTTAAGTGTCATATAGGTGCTCAAAAAGTTTTAGATTTTAGAGCATTTTGGATTTGAGATTTTCAGATTAGAGATGCTCGACCTGTAGGTATATGCATATGTGTGTGTGTGTGTGTGTGTTTGCGTGTATAAAATTACAAAAATGGAATTATCCTTTACATACTTTTTTTTACAATAGTATGTTTACACACTTTTAAAAAACACTTTTTTTTGCTTTACAGTATTTTGTGCACACCTTGTCATGTCATTACATATTCTTTTATAACAGCATCTATAATATTTTGTACTTTGAACCCAAAAGCAACATGTTATCATTATAAAACATTGAAATATCACGGATAAAATGTAGAAAGTGTAAGTTCCTGTCATTCTGCTCTCCAGTAATAGCCACCGGACAGTCACCATTAACAGTTCAGTGTATAGTGTTCCGTATCTCTTTTCTAAGGCTATTCTATCCATACGATTTTTAGAAAATGTAATCACATTATACACATTATTTTAATTTTTTAAATTAATGATCAATGTTGAACATGTCAATATATATAAACCAGGCTGGGTGTGGTGGCTCACACCTATAATCCTAGCACTCTGGGCAGCCAAGGTGGGAGGATCGCTTGAGCTTAGAAGTTTGAGATCAGCCTGAGCAAGAGTGAGACCCCTGTCTCTACTAAAAATAGAAAAATTAGCCAGGCGTGTTGGCACACACCTGTAGTCCCAGCTACTCAGGAGGCTGAGGCAGGAGGATCACTTGAGCCCACAAGTTTGAGGTTGCAGTGAGCTATGATGACATCAGTGCACTCTAGTTGGGGTGAGAGAATGAGACCCTGTCTCAAAAAAAAAAAAAGCATATATATGTATAAACCAACCTCACTCATTTTAATAGAGGCATGACCAACCTCTTCTTTTTTTTTTTTTTTTTGAGACAGAGTCTCACTCTGTTGCCCAGGCTAGAGTGAGTGCCATGGCGTCAGCCTAGCTCACAGCAACCTCAAACTCCTGGGCTCAAGCAATCCTACTGCCTCAGCCTCCCGAGTAGCTGGGACTACAGCAATGCACCACCATGCCCGGCTAATTTTTTCTATATATTTTTAGTTGTCCAGCCAATTTCTCTCTATTTTTAGTGGAGACGGGGGTCTCGCTCTTGCTCAGGCTGGTCTCGAACTCCTGAGCTCAAACGATCCGCCCACCTTGGCCCACCAGAGTGCTAGGATTACAGGCGTGAGCCACTGCACCTGGCCTCTAGTTTTTCTTTAATGCAAACTGCTGCAGTGAACATCCTTCTATATAAAACTTTACATACTCAAGCAAATGTCTTATAAAATGAATCCTAGCCCTGGAACTCTGGTACAGAATATGAACGGTGTGGACATTCAAATATTTAATAGAATTGTCTTCCAGAAAGGTTCTATGAGTATATAGTACTCCATTACAGAGAGCACTTTTCCAATTCTTTTCCTTTATGGATTCTGTTTGTTGGGCTTCAGAGTCTTTCACTACAGAGAGACCAAATAAATATTTCAGGTGGAATTTTCCATAATCCCGATTTAATTTTTTAAAAATATCTTCAAAATAGATAGTCTACCATTTCCCTCCTTTGCCAACAAAGTAATAAACTTCTCTTTCCTTCTCCTCAAAAAAAAAATGCATATCTTTAAAATAACATTTATCGGGAGAGGTGCGGTGGCTCATGCCTGTAATACCAGCACTTTAAGAGGCCGAGGCAGGAGGATTGCTTGAGGCCAGGAGTTTGAGATCAGCCTGAGCAACATGGCGAGACCCCATCTCTACAAAAATTAAAAAATTAGCCAGGTGTAGTGGTGTGTGCCTGTAGTCCCAGCTATTCGGGAGGCTGAGGCAGGACTTTTGCTTGAGCCCAGGAGTTTGAGGTTGCTGTGACCTAGGATGACCTAGACCTACACTGTAGCCTGGGTGACAGAATGAGACCCAGTCTTTAAAAAAAAAAAAAAAAAAAGATGGACTCTATAGTAAAACAACTTGACTAGTCCTGGTCTCTTCATACTGAATAGCAGGAAAACACAACTGAGAAATTTGTCACTTATGATAGAAAACAAACATGGACTCATCTAATCTTACCAGAGATTTTACCTTTAATGTCAGTAGATATCAAATATATTCTTTGTTAAGCTCCTTGAGTTGTAAGTATTTTGTGTCTTTAGCATTCTCATCCACAAACATAATTTACTGCATATTAACTGAATTAAACAAAGCACTTGTAGATCTGAATGATTTGCTTCACAGTTTCCCTTTAATGTAAGCTGGTTCTCTTCTTAAAGGGAGATCCATATTTCTGATTTCACATATTCCTTTCACAGAGAGAAAGCTTGTGTTGGTGTTTCCACAGCAGCACTCAGTGTGTGTACAGTGTTGCGTTTATACAGTAGGGGACCTGCTATATGTATGTTGCTAACTTTGCATCTTTCACGTAGTACAGCTTGAAGATCATTCCGTATCAGGGCATTGGGACCTAATGAGGAAAATTTTTTTAAACTTTGAAGTGTTTTTTTTTTTTTACCCTGAAGTATATCCTTAAGAGAGGTACTTTTTAATGTTAATGAATTTTTCTTCACTTTCCACGGCCTGTGGCCCTATTGTCATTTCTCGTTTGATTTCCCAGGGAGGTGTTTGGCGGGCAGGGGGTGCTAATCCATCCCACCAAGACTAAGATTCTCTCACACAGTCTCACTGTATGAGTCTGCTGCCACACGGACACAACTCCTGGTGTCAGTACTAAACTTTGCTTCTCTCGCTCTTGTTTCTCTTGTCCCTCCAATTTTCCATGTATTTGGGGGACTGAAGAACAAGGGCTCCTTTCTCAGGCGGATGGAAGCAGGCAGAGGTATTTCTTTTCCCTCACACTCTGTCTGTTGATGTCTGACATCTTTTGTTTTCATTCCAGGGGAAGCCATATGTCTTTGACCGTGTATTCCCCCCGAACACGACTCAGGAGCAAGTTTATCATGCATGTGCCATGCAGATTGTCAAAGGTAATGGATGTATTTTCAGAATGTATTTTCTCGGGCTCCCTATTCTCTACGCTACTTATCTCCACCACTGCTCCTTCCCCACCATCTCTTCCAGATGTCCTTGCTGGCTACAATGGCACCATCTTTGCTTATGGACAGACTTCCTCAGGGAAAACACATACCATGGAGGTGAGGGTTCTGATTCTGTAGGGGGTGAGGAGCCATGAGGGTTAATTGGAGATCAAAGAATCTCAGTGGGGGAGGATCCAGGAATCAAGGATTGCCTGATCTAGAAGCAGATGGGTACAGAGGATGAACTGAAGGGCAGCATTACAGGGGAAGTTCACTGGAAGCACTTCAACCTGCTGCAGTTTACCCTGATTTCCACTACTCCAGTTTTCTTGTTTTGATCTGGAAAAGCAGCAGCAATGCAAGTGCAAAGGGCTGCTCAGTCATCTCCTCCCTCTGCTGAGAGGTAGACATGACGAGCACCTCCTGCCTTTCTACGGCCTTCTTACCAATGCTAACCTTTGTATCCACCTGCGCATCTCTGAGCTATCTCATTCTGCCTGACCCTGGCTTCACTCTGGAATACCCTCAATCCCCAGGGAAAGCTGCACGACCCCCAGCTGATGGGAATCATTCCTCGAATTGCCAGAGACATCTTCAACCACATCTACTCGATGGATGAGAACCTCGAGTTCCACATCAAGGTGACAGGGAGTGGCAGCTGAGTGTTCCCAGAGGGGCCTTGGGGGAGATCTAGGATGAACCCATTGAAAACCTGGGGCTCCCCAGCTTGACCCCCGCCTCTTACCTCAGTTCTTCTTCGTCAGGATGTTCTCTCCTGCCACCGTTTGAGCAGGTCACGTTAGTTTGGGCTTCGTGTATCATATTTAAGACAGGCCCTTCTCACTTTACACTCTTTTCTCCCTAACCAGGTTTCTTACTTTGAGATTTACCTGGACAAAATTCGTGACCTTCTGGATGGTGAGTGTTTCACCTCGGTGGGTGAGAATGTGTGAGGAGGGTGAGGAAAAGGAAGCCCACATTGCTCTTAGGATTAGGTTCTACTTGGCAAGAGGTGCAGAAGGCACACAGGACCTGAGTCCTTTGGCTCTACTCACCAGGAATTTCCAAAAACTGAGAGGATCAGAAGATGAGCTTAGGGGCTCAGGCCTGCATATAAACAGTCCAAGAGGAGCCGGAGCCCTGAGAAGGAGGAGGAGGAACTGAGCTTTCAGCTCAGGCAGGGAGTTTAGTCTTCCTCCCTTTAGCACATAGAAGAAACCACCATCTGAGCGGACTGTGGGGTGCAGAGGGGGTGAGTGGAAGCACAGGTCTTGCTCACTCTGCATTCTCTTGATTTAGTGACCAAGACAAACCTGTCTGTGCACGAGGACAAGAACCGGGTGCCATTTGTCAAGGTGAGAGTGGGGCGGGGCACCTGTGAGGGCCAGTGTGTTGAGAGTGTGGGGGAGGGGGGAGGATAGGTCAGTGGCCTGGAAGTTGGGGGGTAGCCATCCTGGAGGAATGAGATGTGGCAAAAGACCAGGAAGAGTCTGGGAGCTTAGAAAAGACACTGCCTTGAAAGGTCATTTGGTCAATGTACAGGCAATTTAATTTGCAGATCAAAGTTTATGGGTCACTGTCCATTTGTCCCCTGCAGGGTTGTACTGAACGCTTTGTTTCCAGCCCAGAGGAGATTTTGGATGTGATTGATGAGGGGAAATCAAATCGTCATGTGGCTGTCACCAGTGAGTGGGCCTCTCGAGGGGCTCTTTTTTTTTTTCTCTTGCTCCACCCCCAGGGTAGAGTGCAGTGGCATCATTATAGCTCACTGCAACCTCCAACTCGTGGGCTCAAGTGATCCTCCTGCCTCAGCCTCCCAAGTAGCTGGGGCTACAGTTGCACACAATGCCTGGATAATTTTTCTATTTTTAGCAGAGACGGGGTCTCACTCTTGCTCGGGCTGGTCTTGAACTCCTAAGCTCAAGCAATCCTCCCGCTTCAACCCCAGAGGGCTAGGATTATAGGTGTGAGCCACCGTGCCCAACCTTGAGGGGCTCTTGAGTCTGGGGGTCCTCCTCTCTTCTGTGCCCTCTAGGGTAGAGAGACTTAGAAGTGAAGAAGGGAAGGCTGTACCCTCTAGAGGAGAGGAGCCCTGGTCTGTGTGCCCCTGCTGCCTGTGAGCTGTGGTGGCAGTGCTGGTCCTGGTGGGCACCTTCTCTCTCGGTGGGTGGGGTGGTCGTCACTGGGGCAGGGGCTGAGGACTGCAGTTCCGAAGGGCGGTACAGGTCCTGTTTCTCCCTCCCTCCTGCAGACATGAATGAACACAGCTCTCGGAGCCACAGCATATTCCTCATCAATATCAAGCAGGAGAATATGGAAACTGAGCAGAAGCTCAGTGGAAAGCTGTATCTGGTGGACCTGGCAGGGAGCGAGAAGGTTGGGGGTCCTGTGGGGATGGGGTGGGTGGAAGCCTTGTGGGGGGGATGCCTTTTCTTTTTTAATTAAAATTTTTTTATTGGGATATAATTCACATACCATGAAGTTCACCATTTTAAAGTGTGCAATTTGGTGGTTTTTAGTATGTTTACGAGGTTGTGCATCCATCGCCACTAATTCTAGAACATTTTCATCGCCCATTCATAGTCATTCCCCGTTCTCCCCTAGCCTCAGGTCCTGTCAACCAATAATCCACTTGCTGTCTCTGTGATTTGCCGATCCTGGGTGTTTCGTATCAATGGAATCGTGTAGTGTGTGCCGGGGGTGGGGCCGAGGGGGCCTTTGCTACGAGGGTTTGGAGTTTACGCCATCCTTTTCCCTGTTCCCTCGCCTCTCCTTGGACTGAACCCTGCTAAGTGGAAAAGTGGAGGTGACAGCCCTCTCCCTTTGCCACTGCTCATGACACATCCATCCCTTAATGCCCTGGTAGGTCAGCAAGACTGGAGCAGAGGGAGCCGTGCTGGATGAGGCAAAGAATATCAACAAGTCACTGTCAGCCCTGGGGAACGTGATCTCCGCGCTGGCTGAAGGCACCGTGAGTGTTCCCTGGGTGACCCTCGTGTCCTGCCCATCTCCTCCCCCACCTCCTTCTAATGCCCCATCTAGTCATGCCTCAATTCATGGGGTACTCGATCCCCAGTCAGAACCTCCATGCTTTCTGATTCTCTGTTGAATTTATTTTTCTAATTCATGGTCTCGCTCCTCCCCCAGAAAAGCTATGTTCCATACCGTGACAGCAAAATGACCCGGATTCTCCAGGACTCTCTGGGAGGAAACTGCAGGACAACTATGTTCATCTGCTGCTCACCGTCCAGTTACAACGATGCAGAGACCAAGTCCACCCTGATGTTTGGGCAGCGGTCAGTGGCGGGGTCTCCAGAGGAATCCTTGACACCCAGCTTCTCGCTGCAGCCCCCATGGTTCTCTCTGCTCAGTGTCACCCAGGTGTAATGTAGGTCTCATCTCTGTTCCTCTTCTCCTCTCCCAGGGCAAAGACCATTAAGAACACAGCGTCAGTGAATCTGGAGTTGACTGCCGAGCAGTGGAAGAAGAAATATGAGAAGGAGAAGGAGAAGACGAAGGCCCAGAAGGAGACGATTGCAAAGCTGGAGGCTGAGCTGAGCCGGTGGCGTAATGGTTAGAGAGGTGTCCTGTGGGAGTGAGAGGCGGTGGGAGGAGGAGGAGGTTTGGGAGCCAGCCCCATCTGGCCAATCTCCAAGAAGGAGGGCAGTGTTTCTGGAAGGGTGCAGTAGAGCAATCATGGGGGAGGAGAGAGGGGGATGACTACCTACTGCTCCAGCCCTCAGAAGGTGGAAGGTCCACTTGGCAAGAGAGAACAGGGCCTGGAGATCTCAGCATTGAAGAGCAGGAAAAATTTGTGGGTGCAACTTACTGTTCTCCCATCTCTCACCATTTTTTGCCCCTTCGCCAGGAGAGAATGTGCCTGAGACAGAGCGCTTGGCTGGGGAGGATGCAGGCTTGGGAGCCGAGCTCTGTGAGGAGACCCCTGTCAATGACAACTCGTCCATTGTGGTGCGCATCGCGCCGGAGGAGCGGCAGAAATATGAGGAAGAGATCCGCCGCCTCTACAAGCAGCTTGACGACAAGGTGAGGGCAGCCACTAGGATAAGAGGCGAGGGATTGAAAGAAATAGCTTATACACCCTTTTTCTGATTTTAAAGGGAACAAATGCTCATTATTGAAAATATGGAAAAATAAATAAAAATATATAGAAGAAAATTAAAATCATGCACCATTCAGAGATAACACTGCTAACATTTTGCTTTTCTCTGTGCATATATCATGCAATTGAGATATACTGTATATGTAATTTTGCAACTGATTTTTTTCATTCAGCATTCTATTGTGAACAGTTCCCTACTTCATTAACAATTCTTCATACAGTATTTTTGAATGGCTACCTAAGAATCTAGTTGTCAAAATGTATTAAACCATCCCTTATTATAGGGCTTCTAGTTTTTCTGTTTTTTTACTTATTTTTATAACAAACAATTCTGAAACGATTTTCTTTGCCTCTTGTGCATAAGATTTTTCTTTCGAATGATTCGATTTGAATGGCTTACTAGCGTGGGGTTCTAGGTTTAAAACATTTTAAACCTAGAATTTAAACGAACATTTAAAGCATTTTGCTGTGTATTGTCAAGGTCATGCCACCTTCTAGAAAGAAAGGAATTTAAAGATGAGGGCAGGAGTTGAGGAAAGAAGCTGAGGAAAAGACCTTTGAGGATGTGGGGTTTCTAACTCAAACTCTCTGGGCTTTCGTCAGGATCCTCCCTCTACCCCCAAACCCTTCATCCGTGTCTCCCCTTGCCTCCCACAGGATGATGAGATCAACCAGCAGAGCCAGCTCATAGAGAAGCTCAAGCAGCAGATGCTGGACCAGGAGGAGGTGAGGAGGGAGGGCAGGGCGTGAGGGGAAAGGCACAGAAAAGACCTTTTGAAAATCAGATGGAAGCAGGGCATTCTGCTTAGGGGCTCGTCACTCCCCCAAACCACAGAAGCCTGGGAACTTCACGGGGGCTTTTCTTAGAGCACAGATTTTGGAGTCTGGGTGCGTCTTCATTCTGTCGCCGTATTTCTCTGAAGCCTAAAGCCCACTTCCTCTTGACTCTGCTTTGGCGGAGGGCTCAGCTTCCCTGGGCTCAGGGGCAGGAGGAGTGATCACTGGCAGAGAGCTCCCTCACAAGCCCCTCCTCTCCCTTGAAGCTCCTGGTGTCCACCCGAGGAGACAACGAGAAGGTCCAGCGGGAGCTGAGCCACCTGCAGTCGGAGAACGACGCCGCTAAGGATGAGGTGAAGGAAGTGCTGCAGGCCCTGGAGGAGCTGGCGGTGAACTACGACCAGAAATCCCAGGAGGTGGAGGAAAAGAGCCAGCAGAATCAGCTTCTGGTGGATGAGCTGTCTCAGAAGGTGGTAAGTGGTGTGCGAGTGCAAGAGCTCCCTGGCCTCAGAACATCCTCCATGTCCAAGGGGACCTCTGCTTCCTTCCAGGGCTATACATGTTTGCACCTCTGCACTGCTGCTCAGTATGTCATGAGACCCTGTCCCACCCTGTCACTGCTGTCTGCCCTCCTGACCCCTCTCTCTTCCAGACCCTTCTGCAGGGCCTGTATTCTCTTTATAGCAGCCCTCAGGGTCACACATGAAGTGAGAGGCCTCTGCCTGGGCTGGGGAGGAGAGCAAGAGGATGGCAATGGGAATAACCTGAGGGGCTGTCCCTAGGCCACCATGCTATCCCTGGAGTCCGAGTTGCAGCGGCTACAGGAGGTCAGTGGCCACCAGCGAAAACGAATTGCTGAGGTGCTGAATGGGCTGATGAAGGACCTGAGCGAGTTCAGTGTCATCGTGGGCAACGGGGAGATTAAGCTGGTGAGTGGGGAGAGACAGCAGTCTTGTTTAGGCCACTCTCATCTGGACACTGGTGGGAGATGCAAGGTGGGACAATTCAGGCCCTCGGGGACACTAATAAAGGCAGGCCAAAGAGCCCAGAAACAGGCCTTCAAACTAGACACAGGAAGACAAGTAGAGGCTTGCGAAGACTCCGCTGAAGAGACACATTCTAACTGAATAAGGAAGCAATCCACACATGCTTGTAGCAGGAGTTAGAGTGGGGACTCAGAGTTAAGAATGACATGTGCAAATCTGTGGAAGTGGGAGTGAGCTGGGTGATGAAGCAGATCAGTTTGATTACAAAAGAAAATCATATTGTTTTATAAGGTTAATGTACAAGAGAGGGACTGTCGGAGTTAGATTTTTAAATGCAGACAAGAGGGCCTTAATGTGAAATGCCAGGGGATAGCCACTAAAGGTTGTTCAGAAAAATACCTGCCCCACTTTAGTCCCTGTGTATGTGGGTGTGTATAGAGGTAGGCAGAAGGTGGAAGGGATGGATAAAGGCTTCCTCACAGCCAAGAAGCATCTCTTCCTCCTTTGCCCACCTTCAGCCGGTAGAGATCAGTGGGGCCATCGAGGAGGAGTTCACTGTGGCCCGGCTCTACATCAGCAAAATCAAATCGGAAGTCAAGTCTGTGGTCAAGCGGTGCCGGCAGCTGGAGAACCTCCAGGTGGAATGTCATCGCAAGATGGAAGTGACTGGGCGGGAGCTCTCATCCTGCCAGCTCCTCATCTCCCAGGTGAGTGCCTGAGGTTGAGAGCCTTTGGGTGCTGTGGGAGAAAGAAGGCTGCTCTGGGCTTATGGATGAAACTTCTAACACCCACCTTTATGTCAGAGTCCTGGGGTCAACTGAAATCATGGACAGAAGAGTTGGGGTGGTAGCGGGTGGGGGATCCAGGCCAAAGAAGTGAAGGCTTGGGGGATGCTGCCCTCTGAGCTGATGCGGTCTAAAGCAAGAGCCTCCAGAGGAGTGGCCCCTGACACTGCATCCTTGTGGGAAGCATAGCTGGAGGGAGGGTTTGGGAGGAGAGCTGGAGTTTATGGAGGTCTACGCTGCCTGGAGCTGTGGACTTTGCTTCATCCACCTTCTTCCTCTCACCAACTATCTCCCACCAGCATGAGGCCAAGATCCGCTCGCTAACGGAATACATGCAGAGTGTGGAGCTAAAGAAGCGGCACCTGGAAGAGTCCTATGACTCCCTGAGTGATGAGCTGGCCAAGCTCCAGGCCCAGGGTGAGGCCTCCTTATACCTCCATCCCATTCATCCTGGGATCTGAGATCCAAGAGGGGACAGGGTAGAAAAGTCACAAATGTCAAATCACCCGACAGCCACTCACCCAAAGCATTAACCTGAAATCATGAACACCAGTTCACATGCTATCCAACCAAGCTCTTGCATGTCACTCATTTTTCATGAACCATACACCCTCTGTTGTTCTCTGTCCCTGCTATATCAAATTGAATTGTCCTAACCCAGAAGAACATCCCTGTGGGCCCCTCCTCTGCCCTGCCTGGAGCTCTGGTCACAACATAAAGTTCTTTCTGGAAGAGATAGGTTTGATGTAAGCTGTCTTCCCCTCTTTCCCTCAGAAACTGTGCATGAAGTGGCCCTGAAGGACAAGGAGCCAGACACACAGGATGCAGATGAAGTGAAGGCAAGTGGGGAAGGTGTGGGGGACAACATGGGCCTGACGGGGCAAGGGCTGGGCTGGCACTCGCAGAGCTCCTGTCTGGGAGTCTGGCTTTGAGCTTGGGGTGGGGTTGTTCACAGAAGGCCCTGGAGCTGCAGATGGAGAATCACCGGGAGGCCCATCACCGGCAGCTGGCCCGGCTCCGGGACGAGATCAATGAGAAGCAGAAGACCATTGACGAGCTCAAAGAGTAAGGGCGGCTTCAGTCTCCACCAGCCCTCTCACCTTGCTGTGCCCACCCCCATGTTCCTTCTGGGTCTGATTCTTTAACTTCGTGTGTCATGCCCTCAACAATGCCACAACTTGCAGCCCAGCTTCAGGAGATACAAGGAATAAGGACTGGTTTCTATCCTAGAGGCCCTTATGATTAGGGAGCTTGGGGTTCCTTGCTCTTCATGGAAACAGTGGCCTGAGTCTGGCCCTGGTGTCTGAAGGTGGACACATCAATTCTAACTGGACTCACTCGTACAGAAGAGGGAAAATGTCTGAGGAGCTTGTCTTCTCCGCCAACCCCCCCAAAACCATTAAGATCTTTTTTCTCTCTCTCCGATACCTCCTGACCCTCTGTAGCCTGAATCAGAAGCTCCAGTTAGAGCTGGAGAAGCTCCAGGCTGACTACGAGAAGCTGAAGAACGAAGAACACGAGAAGAGTACCAAACTGCAGGAGCTGACGTGAGTGACTGGTTTGCCTGCAAGCCACAGCCACGTAGGCTCAGAACTGCTACTTGGACCCGCTTGCAGAGGCGGGACGCACACGTAGTGGTGATATGATGACCCATAGGAGGCGAATATGATGGGGTGGGGCAGGGGAAAAACAGAGAAGATCAGCAAGACCACTGCTGACTGTTAGCCAACACGGAAAGACCTTTGCGATGTTCTATTAAATGTAGAAAGCAGGTTACAAAAGAGTTAGAATGGTGTGATCCCATAAAAATGCATGCATAGATAGACATATATATGCATAGAAAAAATAGTCTGGAAAGATACCAGAAGAGTAGTGGTGGTTTGATATGTAAATAGTAGAATCATAGCTTTTTATAAAAACTCGCTTTATGTCTTTTTAAAATTCTTTTCTAATTCTTGCGCAGTAAACATGAGTAACTTGTGTAATATATAATAATAAAATAGGGATAAAAGAAATGGAGGAAGAAGGGGGAGGAAGGAGAGTCCTGAAGGATTCTTCTGTTTCCCATGCTCTCCTGATTTCTCTTGCTGCAGATTTCTGTACGAGCGACATGAGCAGTCCAAGCAGGACCTCAAGGGTCTGGAGGAGACAGTTGTGAGTGGTTTCCTTCTGTGCCAAGTTAACAGGGTTGGGAGGGCTTCATTTCTTCCTGCTGATTTCTTCCTAACCCTTTTCCTCCTGCCCTTCTGCAGTCAGTCTGTGACATAATCAGGACACATTTTTTTCGTAAAGGATGAGTGACTCACTTGGGTATAGAAACTGAAGGTTCTAATAATTTTGAATAGAGAAGATTGAGCTGGTACCTGGCCATCCCCAATTTTTCATCATTCTTTCTAGGCCCGGGAACTCCAGACCCTCCACAACCTTCGCAAGCTGTTCGTTCAAGACGTCACGACTCGAGTCAAGAAAGTGAGTGCCATTCTCAGGGTCTTACCAGCCCCAAATTCTCCTCCCATCTTCAGGTTTCTCCAGCCCCTGGTGCCCCCAGTGAGGCTGGCTTGGCCTGGTCTGGGTGGGACCTGTTTGGCCTTGGGACAGCCACATCTTTCCCTCCATCTCTAATCAGAGTGCAGAAATGGAGCCCGAGGACAGTGGGGGGATTCACTCCCAAAAGCAGAAGATTTCCTTTCTTGAGAACAACCTGGAACAGCTTACAAAGGTTCACAAACAGGTAAGAGTCTGGAAAAGGGGTGAAGAGAACTTTTGAGGCTAGGTACCTAGGATACCCCAATTCTCAGCGGCCCCTTGGATTCAGGAAAATCTAGTTGCATGTTTTCCTTACTGTTCTCTTCTACTTTCCCTACTAATCCTTTCTTTATACAATATTTGGTCCCACTTTTACCTTGGTCTTTGTTTTATGTCTGTTTTCCCTTCTCAAAGTTCCTAACCCACTTCAAAGTGGAATTCCCCAGGCCTACCTTGGAGGGAGGGTTTGACACCGACAAAGGCGTGGGGCTGTATCTATACAGGAGGAAGACTGGTCAGACTTTAGCCAGAGATGCAAGGTGGGGAGACAATAAGAAGCAAGGGCATTGGGCTTTCTCTCTTGGAGAGAACTGCATATGCCTAGGCCTGGGGCAAGCATGCAGGACATTCAATGATGTCCTCAAGGTGGCCCAACCAGCCTCTTGTTGGGGCCAGTGCAAACTCCTGTGTATTAAGTTGCTGCCTCTCTGTCTGTCCCCCTCCTTGCTGCTGCGGTTCCTTAGGTGGATGACTGGGTTTCAAAGGTATGGGGTGGGGATGTAGAAGGGCAGTCCAAAGGAGTCAGGACAGGAAATGTTTGGTGTGCACAGAGCAGGAACACTCTCACTAGCACCAAATAGCTGAGCCTTGAAGACAGGCTCAACAGTCTGTCAACTGGCCCATAATTGATTCATAATAGAAACCCTAACCTATACTTCATTCCTTTCCTTTCAAATCCACCTTAAAATTCCATTTAAACTCATATTCTCACTAGCCTAGAACTTAAACTTCTTTTCCCCACAGTGCAATGCCCAGCCTATGTAGTAAATACTCAAAACATCTTTCTTTTTTTTCTTTTGTAATGAATCCCAAACCTATGGCTTAGTGATAATCTGCATGGTTCATTTATTTTATTTGGGTCTGCAGAGGGCTTTATTACTGTCTTTTTTTCTTTTGTTTATTGTGAAACAGAGTAACAACATTACAGAGAAGTTGAAAGACAGCTAGGACACATTTGTAATCGATTCTGCCATTCTATTTCCATCCCTGTGTGTCCACCTTCCCTCTCTGTCCAAATGCATATTACATTGTTTTTTAAAAAAAAACAGCCACTACTACATGCTGTTTCCTTTTCCCTCGCTGAAGCCTCTCTGCCTCTGTTCTAAGTCCCAAAGACCAAAAACTATTCACCTATAGGATAAACAGAGGACTCACTACAATTTCCTACCTCAGCAGACACAAGACTGGAAAGGAAAAGGAGAGAGATAGAAACTCTTCTCAGTTAACAGAATCTTAATAGCCAGGGCTACAGCCCTGTTACCAGTTAAGCTAAACAACTGTCTTAGCGAAACATTGCTTATCACCCACAAATTGTCCAAAGGAAAGCTGCACAGAAGGGCTCCAGCTCTGCCCCCTACCCCCAGCATTCCCTGCTGTGCCGATTGACCCGCTGTCTTCCAAGGCCCTGCTCCTTTTGCAATCTGTGCTGCTCCCAGTCCTTGTGCAGATCCCTGTAAAAGGATCAGGAAGTCTTTTCTGGCTGCAAGGTGGTTGCTGCCACACTCTAGCTTAATTTAAATGTGGGAGGGACAGCCCAGGAAGTCCTTGAATGTGAAGGTAATGAGCACAAATGTTTGTGAGACCTCAAACATTTTCTTTCCTTCCTATGGGGCGCTGTGTGTCTGTGTATGTGTGTGGGGGCACCTGAATTCCAGCTTCTGCTCCCGCCCTGCACTGTGCCTGACCTGCGATGCCACGTCCACCCTCCACACTGCTACTGTGCTTTCCTGCCCCGCCCTCCTGTGCATGCCCACAGAGCCCCTTCTGGGAAAGGGGTGCCTCATCCCCATGGTCACACCCTGGGGCTGTTGGTCTGGCACAAGCTGGGAGGCGTGGGGGAGGGCAATGTCTAGGCCAGACGGAGACTGGGACAGGACACTGTCACAAGAGTTCTGGGCTACAGTGGAGACGGCAGGTTTTGCTGCCTGGAAAAAATTATGTAACTTTTTAATGCCTGACCACCTTTTGCTCAGGGAGAAGGAAAGAACTGGACAGAAGAGCATATTACATAAAGGGAATGAGGCCTTTTGAGGAAACAACATGATCTCCTCTTCTCTGACTTGATTTTTCTCTGTTCTCTCTCCTCACTGCTTTCTGCTGCACTCCACCGGGTGACTATCTTTGGTCACTTGCCTTTCTTTCGGCTTCTTCCCCCGGCTCACCCCATAGCTGGTACGTGACAATGCAGATCTGCGTTGTGAGCTTCCTAAATTGGAAAAACGACTTAGGGCTACGGCTGAGAGAGTTAAGGCCCTGGAGGGTGCACTGAAGGAGGCCAAGGAGGGAGCCATGAAGGACAAGCGCCGCTACCAGCAGGAGGTGGACCGCATCAAGGAGGCTGTTCGCTACAAGAGCTCGGGCAAGCGGGGCCACTCTGCCCAGATTGGTGAGTGGACGTCAGTAGGCAGGTGGGATGACCTCCAGGAGCAAATTCAGCGAGTTCCCAGGTGCCAAGCAACTAGATTATTGCCTCTTACCCTTCCCCAGCCTCATTTCCACCCACAAAAAAGTTAAAAAATGACTGTTTTACAGGCGATTCAGTTCAACCCCAGCTACATGACCTCAGGGGCCACGGCAAGTGCAGGTTCCTCACAGTCGTTTCTCTTCTTTCCCACAGCCAAACCTGTGCGGCCTGGCCACTACCCTGCGTCTTCACCCACCAACCCCTATGGCACGCGGAGCCCTGAGTGCATCAGTTACACCAACAGCCTCTTCCAGAACTATCAGAATTTGTACCTGCAGCCCACACCTAGCTCCACCTCAGATATGTAGTGAGTGACCACACGTTGGCTGGGTCCCCAACTCAAGGCTTGCTGGACCCTAGAAGGCATAGGGCTGCTCCTATGCCTGAGCGTGCTCCTATGGCTGAGGCTTAATTATTTTCTTAGGTAGCTTCATTTCTGACCCTTTCTCAACTTTGTGCCTATGCTTAGAAGGTGGGCACCTGCCCTCCCAGCCTGCAGCCATGTTTGTTGTCCTTTGCTCTCTGGGGATGGGGAGGGGCATATGGGACCATCACCGAGGGTGAGTATGGATCAGTGGTCCTCAGAACAGTGAGGGTGGGTGCCAGAGGCTACATCTCTCCTCTGCCCCCTCCAGCTTTTCTAACTCCTGTACCAGCAGTGGAGCCACATCTTCTGGAGGCCCCTTGGCTTCCTACCAGAAGGCCAACATGGACAATGGTGAGTGGCAAAGATGGGTAATCCAGCCTTTGGGATCCCCAGGGCAAGTTGAGGCATAAGAAAAGTAAGTGACCCTACTTTACAAAAACTACTAACTGAGCCTTTCTAGGGTGCCCAGGCTTCAAATAAAAAGATACATGTATAGGCCAGGACTGATGATAGGAGAAGGAAAAAAAAAAAGAAAAAAGATACATATAGCCTAGCATGGTGGTGTGCACCTGTAGTCCCAGCTACCCAGGAGGCAGAGACAGGAGGACTGCTTGGGCCCAGGAGTTTGAGGCTGCAGTGAGCTATGGCAGAACATCCGTGAATAGCACTGCACTCCAGCCTGGGTAACATAACAATACCCTGTGTCTTAAAGAAAAAGAGAAAGAGAGAGAGAGAGGGGCCGGGTACTGTGGCTTATGTCTACAATCCTAGCACTTTGGGAGACTGAGGTAGGAGGATAGCTTGAGGCCAGGAGTTCAAGACCAGTCTGGGCAACATAGTGGAACCCTATCTCATCTCTAAAAAAAAAAAAAAAAAAAATTAGCTTGGCATGGTGGTGATCACCTGTAGTCTCACCTATTCAGGAGGCCAAGGCAGGGGGATCATTCGAGCCCAATAGTTCAAGACTACAGTGAGCTATGATCAAGCCACTGCACTCTAGCCTGGGTGACAGGGTTGTATAAAAAAAAAAAAAAAGTGACTCTGTACCTACAAAGCAAGCATTGCTATCCATTCCTTTAGGTCTCAGACTCTCTTAAAATGGATTCCTCCTATTACACGCCTATCCCCACCCTTAGTTCCTGTCCCCTTTTCCTTTCCTTAGTGAGGGGTCATGGAGGCTTTTTCTCAAACAAAACAATGATGCAGTTGGGGTAGCTGAGGGTAACATTCCACAGTTTACCATTTTCTCTAAGGGATTAGGATGGGACGGGGTTTGGGGAGACTGTTTCTAATGCCAAGTGTCCTTTTTTCTTCTTTAAATCCTGTATTCTCAATGATGATCTCTTCAGGAAATGCCACAGATATCAATGACAATAGGTAAACCAGTCCCCAGGACCCCTGGGTTCTCTGGGTGGGACCAGAAGAAATGATTTAATGTCCCTTGAGCCCTACTTAGAGGTTCCTTGAGCCCTTGGGGGAGGAAGGAGGAAACGAGAATCATTCTTGCCATCACTATGTTGTCCAGGGGATCCAGTCATCCCCCTGCCTCAGTGCAGGACACCGTCCCCTCCTCCAGTCCCATCTGTGGCTTCTCCCCATTCCAGTTATTGGGTCTGGGGGAAAATATCACAGACATCTGATGACCCAGGTTTCTCTCCTACCTTTGCAAACTTTGTGACCTTGGGCAAGTCACTTACATGCCTTTGGCCTTGAGTTTCCCTGTAAGCTTGTAAGGTAAATAGTCCCTGCCCTCTATCATCTCACAGAAATGCTGTCAGAGCACAGTGACCATGGCAGGAATCTTTCATTTATATGTAGCTGATCCTGGTGGGTCTCTTCCTGCAGGAGTGACCTACCATGCGGCTACGAGGCTGAGGACCAGGCCAAGCTTTTCCCTCTCCACCAAGAGACAGCAGCCAGCTAATCTCCCACACCAACTGCTGCATACCTGCACTTTCAGGTAGCTTCAGGCCGCCTCCTCGGACCAGCCTCAGGTTGCCTCCTTTCTTGTCCACAGCCTCTTTGGTTCTCCTGCTTCTTTTTTTTTTTACCATCTCAAAATTTTTACTATATAATTACCCCTCATCTCCTACTTTCCCCTGCTGGGGGCTAATTCTGTGCCACCCCATGTGATCTGGACGCTGACCTCTTAGGCTTTCCCTCTTTCCCTTTCCCATAGTAGTTACCACAGTACTGCCTTTCTGCCACTAGGGGTCACTGCCATGCGTCCAAAGAAGTGAGCTCGGCTGCTGTAGATCTAGAGCCACGCGCAGGTCACAGACCATAGATTTTGGGAGAACCTGGGAGAGTGTCTCAACCCTCCTGCCACCTCCATCCTCAAATAATTTTGGATGGATAGGTATTTTCTGAACTAAGACATCTCCAGTAAAGGCGATGTTTGATTTATTCCTACACCTGCGTCCTATCCTCATATCTGTATATGCCACCAGTAAGCTGTAGTGAATGCCCAGTGAAGTCTAACTTTTTGTCCCTCTAGCTGAAGTGTCAGCACTCCCCTCTCATCTTGCTCAGTGGAGGTGGAAAAGTCTCCCGTTTTCCTCCTCTGTGCCCAGGTCCTCTCCTCTAGCAGCACGGGCACTGTCTTGATTCTTGTGTGTCACCAGGCTTCTTGGCAGGGCTGCTTTAGGGCCCAGAACTGGGCACTGCGATCCTGTTTTACTGTCCACTTTGGATCCTTGGAGAACTAGAAACAAGAGAACATGGCCAGTCTCTTACTGGGCTGCATCCAAGCCGAGCCTTCTCCAGGGGTTTCCCAGGACAGCAGGCCAGGCACGCACAGGCAGCAAAGCCTGAGAAGCAGAGAACAGGAATGCGGAAGAGGAGTCAGGGAAGGGCTGGGGTGGAGGACCAGGGGTTGGGGCTGTCTGGTTGTTGGTATTAAAGGAACAGGACTGTAAACCAAAGTGTGTGCAGATGCCGCCTGTTCCTGTTCAGAGGCTGAGCTGCAAGCTGGTTCCTCACACCCTCTTTCTCTTTCTTTCCCAGTTTCTAAGATGGCCTGAGGCCTCTTCTTTCAGCATGCTGCAAACCTGTGGTCTCTGATACTAACTCCCTCCCCAACCCCTGTTGTTCGACTGTACTACGTTTGATGTCTTCTCTTACTCACTCTGTATCTCTTTGTACTCTGTATCTATATATGAAAAGCTGCTGCTATGTCTCTTCTCTCTGTCTCACTCTAAGTATCTGATGATGTATTTAGCAATTTCTAAGATAGGCCGCCCTCCTCGTTTGGAGCAACAGGGAGGAGGGTGAATGTTTCTTCCTCTCTCATATATTCGTGTCTCACACTGAGTGGTATTAGTCACTGAGTAGAGGTCACAGAGATGACAAAAGGAAAAACAGGAGCTAGAGGGCTGTGATCCTTCACACATACACAGACACACACACACGCACACACACAAAGCCTTAAGCAGAAGAATGTCTTAGCATCATAAGACAGAAATAGACTCTTCTTCCCTCCTCTTTCACATAGAGCACAGGGGATGGTAAGATGGAAGGGCTGCTAAATTAGACATAGAATTCTCTTCATACACCCCTCACCCGAATCCAGGGATTCCAGGTGTTTACCTCTGCCCTACGAAGTCTACCTTCTGCCTCCTTCTTCCTATTTTCCCCTGGACTGAGAACATGGCTTGTTCAAGGGACCATTTCCCTTTCTCTTCAAAGCTCCTTTTGATATTCTCTACCCTAGAGTTCATGACCAGAGTTGATTAACAATATTTTGAAAAACTGAGGAGGCAGACCCCTGCCAACAGTCTTTCAAATGGCTGCTCATCTGTCCATGGTGATAGTTACAGGCAAGTGTAGTCAAAAGTGATTGATTTCTTGGGTTTGGGGGTAAACAGGCTGGGGAATTCCTAAGTATATTTTGTCACAGTACCCTCAGGTTGAAGTGACGAGCTGGATTCCTTTCTCTATCGCATATTCGGTTGCATGTTCCTTCCTTTAGGTTTGGGGGCTTCTAGTTCATTGACAAAATATCTCTCTCTAGTTGCCTTCCTTTCAAGCTGGAGCCTGATTTTTTTCCAACATATAATTTTGTTTTTCCCACAAAGAGTTTCTTCTCTCATGTCCCCATCTAGTATTAAGTGCACTTTAAAGAAAGGGGCAGGACAGACTTTCTAGAGGTGGGGGAGCCCCAGGGATCAACTTGGAGGGCTATTTCCCCAGCGATTCTCAGCCCATAGTTACAAGGACTATTGTTTTAGTTTCAGATGGTCCTTTCCTTCCACATGGTGCTAAGGTGGTTTTCCAGGTAGCTGTAGGAATGGAGGTCTCCAGCTAGTCCAAACCAAGAAAGAAAATCTGGTGTCCTGAAATCCAGTATTATCTAGAATGGAAGACCAGGATCCTCCAGCAGCAGGGCAACCTATCACCCAGCTTCTTCTAAGGCAAAAAAAAAAGCTCAGTGGGAGGGCTAAGTGCATACAGAGTCCTTCAAGGGAAAGAGGCTCTGCCCCCTTTACCTGTTGGGCCCTTTTGAGCAGTTAAGGAGAAAGGCAGGGAAAAAAAAAAAGACCAGAGGAGTGTGAAATAAATCCAAAGTGGTGATTTTCAACCATTTTTCAAAACAAATCTTACACAGAACCCTGATGTAAAAAGTAAAAGTAATGCAGGCCGGGCGCGGTGGCTCACGCCTGTAATCCTAGCTCTCTGGGAGGCCGAGGCGGGCGGATTGTTTGAGCTCAGGAGTTCGAAACCAGCCTGAGCAAGAGCGAGACCCCGTCTCTACTAAAAATAGAAAGAAATTAATTGGACAACTAAAAATATATACAAAAAAAAAAACTAGCCGGGCATGGTGGCGCATGCCTGTAGTCCCAGCTACTCGGGAGGCTGAGACAGGAGGATCGCTTGAGCCCAGCAGTTTGAGGTTGCTGTGAGCTAAGACGACGCCATGGCACTCTAGCCTGGGCAACACAGTGAGACTCTGCCTCAAAAAAAAAAAAAAAAAAAAAAAAAATGCAGATCTGGGCAGTTTGCATTTTCTTTTCTTTTTTTTTTTTGGTGGAAAATGCTTCATTAGTTGAGGAGCTCTTGAACAGTCAGTCCTAAGAGACCCTGAGGATTCTATAGAGTAGTTTGAAAACCACTGTTCTGAGGAAGGGGGTCCAATCTGGCTCCTCTACACTAAACCTGCAACTCGGAGAGAAGAGGGAAAGGGTGGGGTGGATGAGCCACACTGTCTCCAGGCCCAGTTGGAGAACAAGGAAGGTACCTGTGGTCCTGTGGACTTAGGCTAACAAATGCCAGAAGGGCACCTAAGAATCCAGAGTTTTTTTATGTAATATTGTCACTAAATACTTAACAACACATATGAAAATGTGAAGGCGTAGGGCAGATGAGGAGAGAGGTGACACCAAGGGAGCAGCCTTCTCTTTAGCAAGATGTAAGGGAAATATAATTTACTTACACAAATAATAAACAACACACACACAAACCTTCACCAGAAGCTTCACACTACACCCTCCTCATCCTCTTCCTGCTCCCCACCTTCACCACAACCCTTTCAGAGAGCCAGGGTCACCACAAGGGGCACCTGGCCTGCCCACTCACATCTGCCAGAATGTTGCATGCCAGAGTGGAAGACGAACCAAACTGCACAAACCCCAGTGTGTATTTATTTGGTGTACATAGATGCCTTTAAAATAAAATACATTCAATGATGACTTTGTGTTGTTGGAAATCTTCTTTATCCTTCCCCAACTTCACTCCGTTCCATTCATGTAATGGCGCTGGACAGTGTGGTATATATCCTTCCAGATGTTTTTCTATAGATTTACATACAGGGTTGGTTTTTTCCCCCCACTTGACGATAATATCCTGGAGATCTTTTTTATGTCAATATACATGGATTGAACTCATTAAAATATATAAAATGTTTCATATATTTATCCTACAATTCATTCCACCATGCCAGATATCCACTGTTGGTGGATATCTACATGGTTTGTAATTTTTAACAAAAAATGGTATCTTGTTCTCATTTTTTACCCAGACTATCACCTCTGCCCCAGCATCAATTCCTTCCCTCCCCAGTGCGTCACCATTTCTCCCTTGCCAACAGCTCAATTCTCTTGTCCCAAGGTCATTTACCACAATCACCCTTCCAACCCCCCTTTTAGGGAATACCCCACCTATCTTCTCTGCTCATACTTCAAAGATTCTGAGATGGAGAAAACTACACAACCCAAAACTGGGGCAACTAAAAATGAAGACCCTATAAACTAACCTGGACCTTCAGTGCTGCTCAATATTCCTTCTGTGTGTCCTTGCTCAGTGTCTTCTTCTACCCCCAGAGCAACTGGTCTAAGTGCTCACTCCTCAGGATCCCTTCCCACCCTCCTCTCTCACACAACTTTGTCATCTGCATCAAAAGGAAAATTAAGGCAACTGAACATGAAGTTCTTTATCCCCACCCCACCTACACACTTACCTATATTTGCACATATCCTTCCTTCTCCCTTCTGACAAGTGATAAATCTCCTTCTCTGGGCTAAAGTGAGTCCCTTCTAGATATTTAATTTTCGAGATACTTACACAGAACCCCAAAATATAACTAAAAGTAATGCAGACTTGGGGAGTTTGCATCTTCTTTGTTAACACCTGTCTCAGTGATCTCTTTTCCTTGTAAGGTCTCCCTTCCATAAGTGTCCCTCCCTTTACTGTGTGATTCTCTGTAAGTGACTCCCTATCTTACTTGTTTTCGTGTAGCCAAATATCCTGAAATAGTCCCAAGCTTCCCATACCCACTTTGTCACCTCCCATTCATTCCTCAGCTCACCTTGATCTGGCTCTTGTTCTGCTCAAATTACTTCTCTAAATTGCACTAGTTACCAAATACAATGGGCATTTCTTGGTCCTTGTACTTGTTTCACCTCTCCATGACTATGACACTGCTCTCTACTCTTTCCTTCTTGAAATTTGACTCCCCTTGACTTCTGTGACCCTGCTGTCCTGGCTGCTTGTACTTCTCTGGCCACCCTTCTGAGTCTTCCTCCACCATCCTCTTAAATGCTGCTCTATCTCAGGGTTCAGCCCTTGGTCCTTTCCTTGCTCTTTCTGGGAGATGTCATCTATGCTGGCAGATTGCACAACAATTCTTAAATCTGTATCCCCGGCCCAGACTATTCTGCTGAGCTGTGGGAGTATTATCCTCAGCTGCCTCAAACATGTTCCAAACTGAACTCATCTTTTCTCCAAAACTGCTCTTTTTCATGTCACCACCATCTCTCCTCACCTTAGCCAGAAGCCTGGGGCTCATTCTCAATGTCTCCCTTTTCCTTCAAACCCCACGTCCATTATGAATTTTCCAAACTGACACCAAACTACATCTTTAGATGTCATCCCCTCTTTCCAGCCCAACAGCCACTGCTTTAGTTCATTATCCGTGCCTGAACTGTTGCAATATTCCAGTTACCCTCCAGGAAGATGCCTGAGTGGTCCTTCTAAAAGGACATCCAATGCATCAAAATCACTTAAGGGATCTCCAGTTCCTACCCTCTCTAACCTTAAGCCTTGCTTCTTCCTCTGGTTCTCAAATTCTAGCCCTACCTTAATACTTATATCTTCCAGAAACAGACCAGTTCTTTCTTGTCTCCATGTCTTTGTACAGTGTTGTACCTAGAAAGCCTTTTAACCCCTAGGCCTGAACTCCACCCAGTCTTCCCTACACGGCACAGTCTCCATCCTCTTGGAAGCCTTCCCTTATAAGCTGCACTTCCTTTCTTTCTGTCATTAGCATTGCCTCATACACAGCTCTCGTATAGCCCGTATTTCGCATATTGCAACTTTCTCCTTTGACCAGCCAGTGACACTAGACTCCTAGACTCCGAACTCCTTGAGGGCAGTAACTGTCTTATCTCCTGCTTCAATTAAAGGGGAGACTCAGGGTCTAGAATAGTGCCTGGTATAAGTTAAGCGCTCAAGAAATACTTGTTGAATGAATGAATGAATTTAAAGACTTTCGGGGACATTGGTAAGAATTTTGGATTTCCCCAACCCCTACTTGGTAAAGAAATGCTTTTGCATTAGCCTCAGACCGGAGGTTAGTCATTAAAAAGTGGGCAAAACCGGAAGGTGGCGATTTTGCAGCAAAGAAGCCCCCGACCTGAGTGAATCAGGCCGGCCCAGGCAGCACCTCAGTCGCCTCGCTG